CCCCCCGCCAGGCAGCGGCCAGCATTTGTTCTGGGGCAGGGGCTGACTCCCTGTTGCATTTCTGTCGGACCTCCCCGTTAGGTGAAGCTGTGCTGGCTTCCTGCCACAGGGCAGGCCCTCCTCGTGAATCCGGTGCAGGCAAGGTAGCGATCCGCAGCGAATGCCGGTGCCAACGCAACGTCGAGCCATCGGCGTCTTGGAGACAAACCTGAACTTGCCGAATAAGTCGATAACGTCAGTTGTTTTCTGTTGTGATTTCGTGAGTTTTCCGTCTGGTATTTGGGAAGCTTAAATCAGTGTAATTTCAGGTAGCATGTATTTGACCATATATTGGCAAAAGTGTTTATTTGAAAGGCAGTGCTTTCTGACCCACGTGGTTTTCTGACAAAGTTACTTTGATCAGTTTCTGTACCTGATTTATCATACAGATCTGCAAATAGCTTATTAGCACAGCAGAGAGTAAGGGGAGGGGAAAATAATGATGTAGAAAGGAGAAAATTACACTGGCAGCTCTTAAGCTAGTGCAGTTGCTGCAAGAGGTACTTGTTAAACTCCACTCACATGTTGCCTGTAAGTCTGTGTGTATGTTTCATGGTATATTGGAGGTACGCCATCCAGGCTTATATGTTATAATGCCATTGAAATGTGTTTCAGAAGGTGGTCAAATTCAGAGGAAAGTGTAACTGCAAATTTAACTGTGAGACAAACTGCATGTTGAGTTACACTTTTTTCCCCACTGTCAACATCATTTGCCAGGTCAAAAAGAGCAAGCGAATTCATGCCATATGACAGAAAGCGCCCTTTACCTCACTTAGTCAATTAAAACATGTGCCAGGTTTCTCCTGTGAAAATTCGGAATCTAGCATGGCAGGAGGCCTGACTTCCCTGAATTTTGACTTCTAGAAGAAACACAGCATGGTTATTTATTTTAAATAATATTTCCAGCAGCCACAGGAAAACTAAAGAATTAAGAGTAACAGCAGTAAGCAGGCCCATAATTCACAACAGGAGACTATAAAAATGAAACACCGTCATGAAGTATATGCCATGCTCTCACAGAAACTTGCTGACTTCGTCCTATAATTTCTTCTAACCGCACAATCCCATGTGCATTTTCATCACTCTTCTTCCCTTATATGTAAACAAAAGTGGAATATCTCACTGCTTCCCTTTAACTGTCAATGGGGAATTTTGGATGACAACCTAGCCACTTCCTCTTTTGCTCTTCCACTGCCTCTTAGCCCTGTGGGTATTTCTTAATGCCACAAACACAAATAGTATATTGTGATCTAAAATGAAAAGCAAATCTGGTTACTTGCTTGCCTTAAAATTGCAGAACAGGGACGAAGGCATATGAAATATGAGCAGAATTACAGGTTTGCAAAAAGCCCAAGAAAATTGTTATCCGTGTTCTATCAGAATGGGTAACTTAATGTTACTGGCTTTAGATGCAAAGGAAAATACAGTGAGTCATTAGATCTGTTTCAGTGATGAATTCCAAAATTTGTATGCTATCTATAATTCAGGTGCACCGTGAAATACTTTTGCACTATCAAAGCTATTATTTTTTTTCCTGCTTTTTTACCCTGCAAAAGAAGTCAAGATACCTCCTTTTCTAAAGGCAGATGTCACTGCTTAGGGGACACCACCACAGAACATAAGAGTAGTACCCTTTGTAATTCATCCATAGTGGTTTTGTCACACTGAGGAGAAGAGCTTATTAGAGGAATATTACATGAATAAATCTTCATGGAAAGACTAAAAGGCAATCAGGCTACAAAAGACTTTCAGGATGGTTCTGTTTCTTTCCATTCTTTGAAAGAGGACGACATACAATTCCCATTTCTAAATGTACTGAGATCTAGTTTAAGAGTAGTTTAAAAAAATGTTTTCAAGCATTTACAAAAATATGGGATCGCAGTTTTGCACTTCCAACATTAAGGAAATCATTGCAACCGAGTAGGATTTTTACTGACTCCTTCAGAATGTTTTTGATTTAAGAAATTAAATATTTAGTAGAACAGATGCTTCCAGAGCAGAAAATTTAAATGCAAGTCCTTCCAACTCTCTGGAAGCATGCATATGAGAAAGGTATTGTACAAGTGACATCTGGACATGAACCACATCTCGGGAAATCTCTCTGACTAGAACCTCATTGTGCAAGAGCCAACAGTTAATGGCAATTGGAAGGCGAGAGCACATAATGACTAGGGTCTGGTACAGGCCCATTGAAATAAATTAAGAGATTCCCTCAACCTGCTGATGGCTAGGGACCTTCAAGCTATGGACAGAAGTTAGAAAAAACTAGCTTTTCAGTTATGAGAACCTAGTATTTTATAACTAGACTCCTATATCTGAAAGATGGAAGCTACTTTGATTGCTACTCCTCTGCAAGGTACAGGAGCCAAAAAGAACTGGTTTGAGAGGCACATAAAGCTAACGGCATCTGTCTGCTTCACAGCAGCCACCCTGCGCATCACTTAGCCTCCATCTAGAAGCTCTCTCAAAGCAGATTTGTAGAGATCACTGCACATACACTGACTTGGGCAGTTACAGCTACAATTAACACTTCCACTAAATAGGTTTATGAAGACTAAAGCCCACAAAGAAAACATGCTTACACTTCACTCTCCTTCAGTTTAAGCCCATCTGTGCTACATATGCATGCTGCAGCCATTCACCTTGTTTTGACAGGGATGGAATTAAAGCTAAGCCAGGGTCTCTAACTCATACTGACATTAGCAGCTTGAATAAGCCAGCTGCCCACTCTGCCTGCCTTGGAAGAGCAGGGAGCAATTCACACGCTCAGACAATCAAGCTGGAGACACAAGTTTATCGCTACAACACCCAGGAGAGGCTAGCCTTTAAATATACGTAGTCCTCATCTCCGGAAGGAAGGCAGTTCTTTCCTGAGAGAGACGCCTTGGGAAGCACTGACTCACCAGCTAGGTGAGAGGGCTTGAAGGGTCTCACCCTTACTTCATATCCATTTTTGCAAACGTGTCTTCTGCTACAAGGCCTCCAGTACCACAGCAAGCCAACACTGCTTTCAATTTACCATGCTGATTTGTTGCCATGAGAATTTAAGTGTATGGAGTAAAGAGGAGATGCTGCTGGTAGTGTCTGCTATGTTAAACACAAACGTCCCAAGATAACAGGGGCAGCTGCTTTCCAAAGTACACCCGGAAGTAGAAGGTAAAGTAAGAAATGTACCTACGACTAATAAACATGTGGTGCAGTGCTGCTACTTTCTGTTGCTATTACAGCTGTATGTCTAATCATCACAGCAGTGCTTGGTATTCAAGCAGAAGATAGAGATTGTTCCTTGCCTAAGGGAAGCACAGAGCTGCACAAAGATGAACAGAGCAGAGGGACAGACTGTCGGAGCAGAACAGTAGCAAGTAATATGACAGGAGATCAGGAAGGAGTGGTATAAAGAGGCAGGTTTGCAAATATGGGGACAAGATACTTAAAATAATACAAATTGCAGAAGAAGCAACACCATGAAGGTAAAGTCTTGGGAACATGAGATTGTGAAACCCCATTTTGAATGGATTGAGTGCGGCTAAAGAACCCAGAGAAGAGAAGAACATGCAATGTAGAGATTTTTATAAGGAATTAGACATTAAGGGTGGATTTTTTATCAAAAGAAGTGGCAAGTGAGTCACAGAATTGCTTAGGCTGGTTAGTCCAACCTGCTTGCTGAAGCAGGGTCAGCAAGAGCAGGCTTCCCAGAACTGTCTCCAGTCTGGTTTTGAGTATTCTCCACAGATTAAGACTGTACAACCTCTCTGCGCAACCTGTTCCAGTGTTTGACCACCCTCACAGTAAAAAAAGTGTTTTCTTGTGTTCAGATTGAATTTCTTTTTTTTTAATTTAATTTGTGTGCATTGGCTGCTGTCCTGTCACTGGGCACTACTGAAAAGAGCCTGCCTCCCTCTTCATTTTCTCCCATCAGGTAGCCATCACACTCCCATCCCCCCCCGAGCCATCACTTCTCCAGGGTAAACAGTCCCAGCTCTCTGCCTCTCCTCATATGAAAGATGCTTCAGCCCCTTAATCATCTTTGTGGTCCTGCCCTGGACTCGCTCCAGTATGTCCATGTCTTTCTTGTACAGTGGGCCCAAAACTGGATTCAGCACTCCAGATGAGTGTCAAGGATCACTTTCCTTGACATGCTGGCAGTGGTCTTCCTAATGCAGTCCAGAATGCTGTTGGCTTTCTTCATCGTGAGGGCATATTGCTGGTGGATGGTCAGCTTCTTGTCCCCAAGGACCCCAAAGTCCTTCTTTGCAGAGCTACTCTCCAGCTGCTCAGCCCCCAGCATGTACTGATGCCTGGAGTTATTCTTACCCCAATGTAAGACTGCATTTCCCAATAATGAGAGAATGTGCTTAAAGGGTCCGTTTTAGTTCTTGCTACAAAACCCATTAATTATCAGGAAGAGAAGAAAAAATTACCTATTTGGGGGCATTTCTGGAACACATTTGCAAGTCAGCTGATTGATTCCCCTTTTCAGGTTAAAGGCTCATTACCAGGAGGAAAAAAATCTTACCATGTAGAACAGCTGAAGCCTGTAAGAAGCCCCAGATCCCTGGCCTATTAAATTTGTTTAATCTACTCTCCTCTGGCATCCATGCTAACAAGGAAGATGACTGATGTCATCATGAGGCCACTCAATCGTCTTTGAAAGGACATGGCAATTGGGAGAGTTCCTTAAGACTGAAAGAGAGCAATTGTCATTTTTATCTTCAAGTTCACAGAAAAACCTTTTGAATTCTTCACTAGTGAAAGAGAACACAGACGTCCTGATTCCGCAAAGCAGTGACATGTATGTGTAGTGATCTGGCCTGTTATTCCTGCAGTGACACTGACTGCTAATGTTGCACTAGAAGCAGCTGCTTTACGTGGCATCTCTGTCAGCTTCAGCCACATGTAAGCTCAAAAGTATAAGCAAAACCCCCATCATGAAATCTTACATCCTCTCTCTGGCCTCCTAAGATCATTACAGAGTCAATTAATGACCCCTTCCCCTGGAAAAGAAAGCAGTCTTCAAGCACGTTCTTGCTTCCTGTCACTCAAAATCATTTCCATCTGAGCCAGAGGGACAGAATGACTGTTGAGCATCAGCATGTCATGGCTGGTAGCCACCAGAGTGTTGGCTGAGACCCCCAGGTAAGTGGATATAG